ACCAGAGCCCACCATTCGTTTACAGCGGGTAGATGATGAAGAGTACCGGAAAAATGGAAGAACCCTGCAGGAGCTTCCAGTTCAGCCTGGCCCCCGTCGTAAAAAAAAAAACATTTCCAGCTTCTAATGGCACAATAGCTGCAGAAACTCTGCAGTGACACTGAAATAATCCCTCATTGACAAATTGCAGCTAAAAAGTAAGTTCTAAAGTTCAGTGTTTACATTTTTAATGTTTTAATTTTCATTTTTTTTTTCCACTGTTAAATTTTTCAATGCCAAATCTCACATTTTAGCTCCATATATCTGCATTTCCGGAACAAAGCCTCCGGAGAATCTCATATGAGGGAAAGAGGAAAAGGACAGCACCGACCGACCGAGATGAAGATGAACAGAGCCTGAATGTGATTGACACATAACAGGTGGTACTCATACAAGTGTCAAGAAACGAGGACAGATGGACCCAGTATTCAAGGAGAGACAGTCGGTAGGAAAGCTCAAAACGTTTATTAAAAAACAAATACTAAAGTGGAGCCTCTAGGAACTGTAGCTCAAGGATGCTGCAGGATGGGGAGCGTGGCACCGCCCAATCACAGACACTCTGCAGGAGAAACAAAGGTAAGTGACCATGATCATCTGACAGATGATGATTATCTGAGTTGGTCACTTACCTGGTTTAACAGTCTAGACCAAGAATGTCCCTAGTGCTGCAGTTCCAGAGGTCTTGCAGGAAGCCGATCCTGGTCAGGGATCCAGAACAGACAGGAACAGGCAGAACAGGATCCAGACTTCCAGGCATCAAAGAGCTCCCAGGCGGGTTCAGAGTCTGACTGGGACCGGAAGCATGACCAGGTGGTCACGCACAGGAGCAGACAGGATCAGGTGCAGACAGGCAGGCTCAGTGGCAGAGGGTAGCAGAGACAGGACGTGGAACCAGAACTGAGTGCAGGACCTTTAAACTGGTCTCCTCCCTGGAGCCAGGCTTACTGAGATAAAAACTGAACCTCCCCACATATAGAGCCAAAAACCCAGAGGACTCTGCAGGGGAGGAACAGTGGTCGATCAGGAGATGAGACAAACACAAAAACCCACTTTCCACTGGCCGACAGGATCCAGGACATGAACCTTGAAATAAACAGAATGACTAACAGAATGCACAGGCTGAACTGAATATAACCCAGAAGAAACAGGTGAGAGGAATAAATTATAATTGAGGCAGGGAGGAAAAAATGACAGGTGAAAGAAATTACCAATTAAGGAGGAGCAAACAGGCTAGATCATTACAACAAGTAGTCATACTCGTCATCTTCCACTTTATCTGGGACCAGGTCATGGGGTCAGCCATCACAGCAGACACTTCTAGATTTCCCTCTCCACATACACCTCCTCCAACCCCACATGCTTCCACCCCAGTTAAGAGACATAGTCCCTTCAGGGTGTCCTGACATCCAAAATACGTGTCTGAGTCACCTCACTCAATATGGAGTGTCTCGAGCTCAAGCCTCTCCCAGATGACCAACCTCCTCTAATGGCGGCCTAGCCACCCCGTGAAAAACATTCAGTTTTGATCCAGATTTTTTTCCTATATGTCAGGGACCGGCTGATAAATCGAGAAATTTGCCTTTTCGGGCAGCTCTTTCTTCAACCTAACAGACCAGTGCAGCATCTGTATTATGAATCCTCCCTATTTGCTTATTAATTCAGGGTCACGGTGGGCTGATGCCGTTCTCCAGAGGTTAAGAGACGAAAGAAGGAGCATATTGAAATACAGTATAATATATTAGATTTTAAAATGCATGTTATATCTACGTTCACCTAAATGCATCAACATTCTCCATAATAAGTGCTATCCAGATAGTGCTGGTGGTAAAGAGGGAGCAAGTCCAGGAAGCATTATGCTTCTTAGCACCAATTCATTTAGCATAGAGACCTCCTGACATCCCTGGCCAACAGTAGGCGCTATGTGGTTTCCCATAATCCTTTGCATGAGAGGATGCATCTGCACAACCCACCTCACAGAGTTGAACAAAATTCCTTTATTTCTTCACCTGTACTCTGACACATATTAATGTACACCTACATTTTTGGCGGGTTTCATAAGGGAGAGCTTCCACTGTTCTTTACATTTGTGTAACGTAGGTTTTCTGTTCCTTTCCACAACACTGAAGGTTGTCGTGATTCAGTATGGAGCGTATTTTATACCCTGACTAGTGTTCTGGCTGTTGACCCCATGAGAGGTGATGTAGAAGTTAGGAACAGATGAGGTATTCGGATTGAGCCTGAGTAGAGAAGAGAGTAGTAGAACCACTCCAAGTATTACTTCTCATGGTGTGCCAGCAATTCTTTCTGAAACTGGGCCCAGGAAGCAAAGCTTATATTCCTGTAGCTAAACACGGAGAGCTCAGATCTTGAAGTTGACCAGTAAACGAGAAGCTAACCCTCAATTCTCATCCACCAGGATCTCTTTCCCTCTCCTTTCCTACATATTTAATGTCCAAAAGACAGTTGCTAAAAAGAGAAAAGAACTTCGGACACTACACGATGGGTGTGTTCAATTTAAAAGGCTGCGTCTTCCAAGGACCTGGTCTACCTGGACTGGGTCCTTAAAAGTCTCTGAAAATAAGGAGGCCGGAAGAGTTTAGGCTGTGGATTCAAGCAGGTCCAGCCTTTCACCGCCCACACGCTTTGTCGCCTAGCAACCGTCAGAGTTGAGACACAAAACAGGCAAAGAATGGATACTGAACTTGTCACTACTGCTCAGGGTGCTAATAACATTTTTGAGGAGCTTCTGCAGCAGTGCCGCTGTCTCAGATATCAGATTTATAGTCCTCACACTTTAGAGTTATTGGACACTGAGCTTAGATGTCAGCCAAAGCCATTTGCACAGGAACAGATAAAACCTTTCAATAAACCAAACATTATCTGTAAAATGCCTGGTGAACTGTAAAGTCTCTTGAGATGACCTATTGTGAATTATTGCTACATAAATAAACTGAATTGAATCTGCCACACATCTGACTTAATAACAATTAATTGAAAATCTACTAATAATCCTCTGATTCAAATGCCTCTGCAAACAGTTTACCTCAGCAGAGAAAATCAGAGACTGACATCTAGTGTTCAGAGGGGGAACTACAGTCCTTAGGTCCTGTTTTATCAGTGAAGCAGCAAGAGAAGCAGATTGAAGGTTGAAGGTCAGCTTTGATCTGCATCCTCTTCCTCAGTGAGTACATTATTTTAATTATCTCATTTTCTCTGCTCTAAATCCTTTATCATTTCAGTTCCTCAAGGATTTCCTGAAACATACAGGAACATTTAACAAAATTTAAATATTACAATTTTTGGATATTTTACTCACAGTTAAAGTTTCACAGTTTGAAACTCATAAATAAAGATTTTTTTGTGGGGGGAGAAATATTTGCATAATTAAGGTTATTTTATTGTTATGGCTTACATTAATTTAAAACCCTTAACTTTCAGAAAATGAGAATATTATGTAAGATCAATAAAACATTGGAATGCCAGACTGGAGCACTAACCACAGCTGGGGGACGAACAGTTTCTGTGGAATTGTCAGCCGTTCTCCAGTATTTATAGGCCAACCAGTAGGGGGCGCCAAAAAACACTCAACACAAATAACTATAAAACATATTTTAGTAGAATTTAATCTACATCTTCTAAAATCCGTTACATAAATAATGTATAACAATAATACAGAGAGGAGGGCATGAAAAGGGGAGGAGATGTCAGGGTTTGTCTGGTTCATAATGCGTCTTTCATCATAATTTAAACAGCTCAGTTCTTACGGTTGAGTTTCAGGGAAATGTCCTCTTCTTCTAGACCTGCTCTAGAGCAAAGACCTCTTTTCCTTGTGATCCTCCTTTGTCTCGGCTGTAAAGCTCAGGTGGAACGAAAAGCTCAAGGAGGAGCAGGATTATGTTTGTGAACATCCCAAACTGTTATTCTGCGACTGTTAGAGAGAAGATCTGCATGCCAGATATCAAACTGCCCTTTTTACCGGCTCTGTGTGTTTTTCCAAATGATTACAGTGGTCTACATAAACCTCAACTTTAAATGTAACATCAGGCTTTCACACAATGATGGTGAATAATCTACAGTCCACATCCAGAGCTGCTTCTAGACACCATGGAGACTAAAGAGAGAAAGGACAGCTGAGGCATAAAAAGGATCCGCTTTAAACTAAAGTTATAGAAACAAGAGTTCTGGAAAATAAAATCAATATTTAATCATCCAGGGCCCCATAAGGATTATTTTATTGTTGCTTGATTGACTTTAGTATGTGGCTCAAAGATTAGAGCCTTCTATAGATACTTAATTTAACTAAGAACTTAACTTTTTTCTATGAGTGACATGCAAAAGAAAATGAACAGGTTCCACTCAGTTTAAAAGAAAAGAATAAATATCTTGTAACACAAGGAAACACAGACAGAAAGGTGTCTGAAGCCAAAAAGAAGTAGTTCTTAAATTGACGGGTGGGAAGTTCAGCCTTTTGCTGTTAAATATTTATTAATACAGTAACAGCTTCCTGTGTGGTGAGAAAGGCGTAAAACAAAAAGTAAAAAAAAAAGTTTACTTCAGGTCGGTTCTATTGTACAGTTTCTGTATTTCTACATTTCACTGCTGTTAAACAATCATGTGATAAATAATTATCAGTCCCTTCCCTAAAGATTTAATTGGATAATTAAAGCCAAGCTGCTTGTAGATTTGCGATTCTAAAACATTTTCTGTTCCATGAATTTGGAAAAAATCCATTGTTTTGAAATAATGAGAAATACTATAAAGTGAAGAACAGAGGAATAAATCAGGTTACTGCTTAAACTGTGATGCTGAAAAATCATCTGATGGAGACAAAGAACACTTTCAGTCCAAATGCAGCAGCAGACAGTTTCAGAGGATAAAGTCAGGTCATGTTGACCTCTAGGGGTCAGAGGAGGAACTCCATTTTTCAGAGAAGTTCCTGGTTTATCAGTGAAAGAGGAAGAGAAGCAGAGTTAGAAACCATCAGCAGCTCAGGATGAAGGTCTGTTATACTTTGATCTGCATCCTCTTCCTCAGTGAGTACATTATTTTATTTCTATCAGTTTATTTTCTCTCAGTCATTCATCTTTTTAAATCCTCACAGTTTATCAGAATCTTTTAAATTTTACAAAAGATTTAAACTGAATTCAAATGTTTCCTTCTTTGTAGCAACAGAACACCTGAAAGTTTAAATTTGAACTAGAAAATTTCTAAAGAAATTTTGAGGGGGGCCACCTACTGCCCGTCTGGGTAACTGGGCCAATACGGCCCTGGCAAGTGACGTCGGGGCTCCCCAGACCAACTGCTTATGGCTTTGAGGGCTGCTGAGGGAAGGAAAGAGGGCGAGGTCATGGGCAAAGAGAGCTGTGTGCCACTTGTACTGAAATCTGGGAAATAGACGTGCACAGCATATGATGCACAAGGGTAATATGGGTTGTCCATATTGAACCGCAGTGGGTAAAGCGCAGTTGGCGGGCTCTGCCCGCCTGCTAGGAGCCCTTGCAGCGATGAAAAAAATCACCAATGGCGGGCTCTGCCCGCCTGCTAAGAGCCATTGCAGTGATGAAATCACCATTGGCGGGCTTTGCCCGCCTTCTAAGAGCCATTGCAGTGATGAAATCACCAATGGCGGGCTCCGCCCGCATGCTCAGAGCCATTGCAGTGATGAAATTACAAATGGCTATGAGCAATATGCCAGAATGTATGAGTGTGTATAAGGAAGAGGCTTTTATTCTGTAGAGTCCCTGTAGTCTTATTTTGAAAGTCTATCATGGATGTGCATCAAAAGATGGGTCATGCCCAGCAGTGATATAGAATCCATTTCCAAATGTTAAATCACTGGTTTTCCATGTTATTAGGTGAATAGCTGCTGTATTACAGAGTAAATGGGAGACTTTTATTGTGAAATTTGCTCTGGGGTGTGTTTTGAAAAGGTCACTAGAGTCTAATAAAAACAACCTGGAAATGTTTGGGTCATAATGTTGAGCCATTTGCATCAATTACTGCATTAGTATAATCTAGAGGCTTTTATTTTGTAGGGTCTCTGGAATCTTATTTTGAAAGTCCAACAGAGTTGTGTTTAGAGAAAATGTTCAGACCCAGCAATGATAGTTGATGACTTTCCAATCGTTAAATCACTCTTTTTCCATGTCATTAGGGCAGTAGATGAAGATGAAATGGGAGGCTTTTATTTTGAAATTTGCCTTAGGGTGTGTTTTTAAACAGTCTCCTAGAGTCTATTCTCTAAAATGGGGTTGAGTTTGGGTCATAATGTTGAGCCATATAGGGCAATAAATATATGTAAAAAATATAGAGGCTTTTATTTTGTAGGGTCCCTGGAGTCTTATTTTGAAAGTCTATCAGTGTTGAGTGGCAAGGGAAGTGTCATGGACAGCAGTCATATAGTATCCATTTCCCAATGTTAAATCAGTGCTTTCACCCTCCATTAGATTAATATGTGCTGTTTAAAACAGCAGAGGTAAAATCTGTTTGAAGCACGGTTACCTTGACAACGCTTAACGAGCCTGTCAGTGACAGAGAGAAAAGCGCAGCACTATCGTTCCTTAGCTCTCAGGCTTTTTTGAATGGGAGGAACAGCTCCGAACAAACGACTGCTTAGCAAAAATCGTATGAGTTATTCAAAAAATTTCTTCACCGTGAGCGACTAGTTGACTATTGGCAACTATGCCAACTTTGGTGTATGTGTGTCATTCAGAAAAATATTTATGACGAGTTTAAAACACATAATGTCATTCGTTTTTCTCCCCACTGCTGCTCCAAAACCAATGGAAAAATGCTCTGATTTTCATCGACTTTAGGTCGGTCTGGAGGGTTTTTAAGGAAAAGTATTAATCCTACCGTAATTCCGAAGACATTGTGTGAGTCCAGAGGTTTCAGCCTACAAACTGACCAAAAATGGTGACTGTAGCTCCAAATATGTGGCCGTGAGGCAAGAACAAAATGTTTTATCTTAAAAAAATGGCTGCCTCACACTAAGAGTTCAGCAGCTGCACTGTAGCAGGCTGCTGCAGAAGCTAACTGTCAGCTAGCTTCCAGGTTCTTACCCTCCAAACAAACGACTGCTGAGCAAAAACCGTAAAAGTTATTTGAGAAATTCTTTCAGTGAAAGAAACATCTATCCTTTCTCTCAGACTGGGGTAACTTTCATGTCTGTAGGTCTTTCACAAACCAAAACGAAGCACAAACAAAATGGCTGATCCCACCTGCTCCTACCATTGGTTTAACTGCAGCAGCTCCTCTCTCATCTTTTTGCTGCTAAAGCACCCCTCCGAACAAACGACTGCTGAGTAAAAACCATAAATGATATCTGAAAAATTCTTTTTATCTAAGCGACAGCTATATCTTGTCTTCAATTGGAGTAACTTTCATGGCTGTAGGTCATCTACAACCTGAATGGGAAGAGAAAGAATAAGAAAAAACGGGTCCTCAGTCCTTAGCTTCTAACTGAGCTAGCTACAGCAGCTCACTGTCCCCTAGCTTTAAGGTGCTTAAAATGTCCTCCGAACAAACGACTGCTGAGCAAAAACCGTATGAGTTATTAAAAAAATCTTTTCACCGTGAGCGTCAGCCATCCTTCGACTCCAACTATGCCAACTTTGGTGTATGTGTGTCATTCAGAAAAATATTTATGACGAGTTGAAAACACATAGAGTTGTTCGTTTTTCTCCCCTCTTCTGCTCCAAAACCAATGAAAAACGGCTCTGATTTTCATCGACTTTAGGTCGGTCTGGAGGGTTTTTAAGGAAAAGTATTAATCCTACCGTAATTCTGAAGACACTGTGTGAGTCCAGAGATTTCAGTCTACAAACTGACCAAAAATGGTGACTCTAGCTATAAATATGTGGGCTTGAGGGCGAGTTAAAATGTTTTATCTTAAAAAAACGGCCGCCTCACACTAAGATGTCAGCAGCTGCACACTAGCAGGCTGCTGCAGAAGCTAACTGTCAGCTAGCTTCCAGGTGCTTACCCTCCAAACAAACGACTGCTGAGAAAAAACCGTAAAAGGTATTTGAGAAATTCTTTCAGTGAAAGCAACATCTATCCTTTGTCTCAGACTGGGGTAACTTTCATGTCTGTAGGTCTTTCACAACCCAAAACGAAGCACAAACAAAATGGCTAATCCCACCTGCTCCTCCCTTTGTTTTAACTGCAGCATCACACTCTCACTCACCTTTAAGCTGCTAAAGCACCCCTCCGAACAAACGACTGCTGAGTAAAAACCGTAAAAGGTATCTGAAAAATTATTTTTATCTAAGCGACAGCTATATCTTGCCTTCAATTGGAGTAACTTTCATGGCTGTAGGTCATTTACAACCTGAATGGGAAGAGAAAGAAAAAGAAAAAACGTTTTCTCACAGCTGAGCTTCTAATTGAGCTAGCTGCAGCAGCTCACTGTCCCCTAGCTTTAAGGTGCTTAAAATGTCCTCCGAACAAACGACTGCTGAGCAAAAACCGTATGAGTTATTCAAAAAATTCTTTCACCGTGAGCGTCAGCCATCCTTCGACTCCAACTATGCCAACTTTGGTGTATGTGTGTCTTTCAGAAAAATATTTATGACGAGTTGAAAACACATAATGTCATTCGTTTTTCTCCCCACTGCTGCTCCAAAACCAATGAAAAACGGCTCTGATTTTGATCGACTTTAGGTCGGTCTGGAGGGTTTTTAAGGAAAAGTATTAATCCTACCGTAATTCCGAAGACATTGTGTGGGTCCAGAGGTTTCAGTCTACAAACTGACCAAAAATGGTGACTCTAGCTATAAAAATGTGGCCGTGAGGGCGAGTTTAAAATGTTTTTGGGTCTTAAAAAAACGGCTGCCTCACACTCTAAATTTTCAGTGTCTCCACTCTAGGAGGCTGGATTTTGCTAAAACTTTGTGGCGCTTGAGGTCTGATTATACAAAAACCGTAGCAGTTATCAACATGCCGTCTTCAGTTTTATGCAGACGAAGGATTTATCTACAAACTGAGCTTTAAACTGTTTTTCTAGGTGAAGGTATGGCGACACAGTGACCCGCTGTTTTTTATGCTTTTTTTTACCTCTCCCCATTCATTTCCTATGGGATTTTATTTGCGACGTTTTCGCTAATAATTCGCAAACCGTCAGACTAATGAGAAAGTTTTATACAAGCACGCATCGCACCATTGGTCCCGACGCGTGTGCCAACTTTGGGCCCGATCCGCCAAACCGTGCGGGACTAGTTAGGTGCCGAAGTTTCGGTGGCGAGGAGAACTATAAGCTATAAAAATAATACGCGGAATAAATATGTGCAATAGTAGTAGGTGGGCCATGCCTTCGGCATGTGGCCCCCCTAATAAGAAACTTTCAGTTACTATCCATAGATCAGTTTGGGTTCATTTCAAGAAATGTTGGATGTTTTTAACTATAGAAAGAAGCAAAGGAAACAGCTCTTTGTTTCATAACTTTTAAAGCACCTGAAGAGGAACATTAAAGCAGAAGTAACTCAGAGCTGCAATATTAAAAGCCTCCTTAAAGAAACAAAGCAGAGAAAGATAGTTTATTTCTCCAAAGCTTCACTTTATAAACGTCCTCAGAGGAGATTTTATCAGCTGTCAAAGAAACCAGAAGGTTGTTGATCCAAACAATTATTTAGAGAATTTAGCTGAACTGGTTTGAGACTCTGGGTTCAAGTGAATTTATTCTAATGCATCCAGGTTCATTTATAACTATATTTCAACTATATTATATTAAACATTGACAGTAACTACTGACTGTTTATCTCCTCAGCAGCTCTGCAGGATGGAGAAACTGTGAAAACCTTCAGTGGAAAGGAAGGAGGAAACATCACAGTTAGATGTGAATTTAAGAACTCTGGAAGCAGGAGGTTCCTCTGTAAGGAAACCTGTAAAGGAGGAAAGATTCTGATTAATACGAATGAGGACATATTCCAGAGCGGCAGATACAGCATTAGATATGAAGAAAGGGAAATCATTTTAAATAATTATCTTCATGTGAGCATCACAAAGCTGGAAAAGTCAGATTCAGGATGGTACTGGTGTGGCTTATATGACCACTGGATTAAATTCTGGAAGGACCCTCAATATGTTGATTTTTATCTCTCTGTGACTGAAGGTGAGTTTTTCTGTTTTTAAATTTTTCACTTAGATTTTCAACAGATCTACTTTAAAGACCAACATGTTCAAACTGTGACTCATGAAGACAAACATGGATCATAAAATCAAGAAGAATGTAAATTTTGACCTCAGTTGTTCTGATTCTGTTTAATCTCCACATCCTCAGATTCTTCAGAACCAAAATGGACTCTGGGACCTTTTATTAAATCAACTTTTCTCCCAGTAGCCTCAACAACAACAACAACAACAACACAGAGTCTGAGTTCCTCACCTTCTCCATCCTCCTCTGCAACCAGCAGAGTCTCTGAGAAACCAGCTGCAGCTTCAGGTACATTATCTGTTCATGTTTAGATGTTCAGGAGATGATTTGGGTCTGTTAAAGTCCAGCTTTGTTCATCAGTGAGGCTCAGACCTGTTCAAGTTAACAGGGTCAGAGAGTCTAATGTTGAATTAATTCTGTATCAGAGCCAGAGATGGCAAAAGTACTCACTTTCCTTACTTGAGTAAAAGTACAGATACTTGTGTTAAAAAATACTCTGGTAAAAATGGAAGCACTGATTAAACTTCTTTACTCAAGTAAAAGTAACAAAGTACAGGCTTGTAAATTTACTTAAAGTATAAAAGTAAAAGTAGAAACCACTTTTTTCATGCCGTTGCCTACATTTTAAATGGATGTCTGCCAATAGGACTAGATCTCCGTTGTGTTCATTTTCAATCATCTCGTCGTCCATGCTACTATGCTAACGCCACCGCCACCAAGCTGCAATGATTTGCCGCCAATGAATACCGCCGAATCTGTCGATTCATCTTGTAGTTGTGCGTCAAATGCAACGTAGATTCCCATCCAATTAGATTGAATTTGGTATTGATGACGTGAAAAATAATAATGGTAACTCCATTGAAATGATTCAAAACTAAAGTAACGAGCCAATTTTTTTAAATGTAAGGAGTAGAAAGTACAGATATTTGTGTAAAAATGTAAGGAGTAGAAGTAAAAAGTTGCCATAAAAATAAGCAGTAAAGTAAAGTAAAAATATCAGAAAAATCTACTTGAGTACAGTAACGAAGTATTTGTACTTCGTTACTTCCCATCTCTGATCAGAGCGAATAAAAGCCAATAAAGCATGGAGCATCTGATCAGAGCAGAATGTTCTGAAGGTCTTTGACAGCAGAAGCTGTGTCCTCTGAGTTCAATAGGAGAGAAACCTTCTGTTTTTATCAGCAGCTGATGAAGGAGGAACATTAATGCACATGGCCTGTTTATGAGGAACTCAACTCTTCTTAAACATCCCTGCAGGTCTGCTGCTCTATGTGGGTCTGATTCTTTCCATCCTGATCATCATGTTAGCAGCAGCTCTGCTCATCTTCTTCAAGAGGAAGAGCTTCAGACAACAGAGAGGTGAGTTATATCATAATTAAAAAGTTTTACCTTCAACTGACCTATAAAAACACATTATGGGTTTAAAGATGAAACTTTTCAATTCTTACAATTATAATTAGTTGTTCAAAATAATGAGCAGATTAATGTATTTTTATTAACATCACAGTAATTAACCCCTTATTATAAATGCAAAGCGGCTTTTTTAAATAGTTAAACTGAGTCTCTATGGTTGGAAGGCCTCTCTACCATCACCTTAATCTATGGGTCATAAGGCTCTTTATTACTTTGGACAAAAACTGTTGAATACAAATTAACAACTTTAAATATAAAAACAATGCAGATTTACAAAATTAGTGTTTCACTTTTCTTTCATTGAAAAATCTTTATTTCTTTTTAAAAATAATGTTATAATAATAATTTAAGTTTTAATTTAACCTGAAGAGAGTCTGAAAGAGAAAGTATGTAATCAGAAAGCTTTTATTGACATTGGAGTTAGTTCTTTGTTGCTCAGGCTCCGGCGGAAGACGTTGATCCTGTGAATCAATATTCGCTTGGATCAGAAATCTAGGATTAGAGTTCTTCCAGGGCAAACAGTGGTGGTGAAAAACCACAGAGGATGGAAAAAAGCTTGAGATTGAAGGAGGAAGTGGCGCGGAGGTGGGTGAAAGGTCAGCTGACCTGCAGGAGGGAAGCTGGGCCAGAAGCTAAATGAAGGGGATGATGATTGGCTATGGAGGAGGCGCCGTCCTGACATTGATTGGATGGAGCTTGGAGCCAGGGGTATGAATTATTCTGGACTTAACTGAATAGAAAGAATCTATTTTTATTCAATCATAGTAAATTGGGACAAATAAACAATATGTTTAAATAATTTTCATAAATATAATTCCCAATTTAAAGCCAACAAATAAAAACTAATTTATTCTGAGGAGGATGAAGAGTTGCTTTGAGTGATGGAGAAAAACTTTCATTTATTATTTTTTTGATAATTCAACTATAGACTGGAGCTAAATCTTCCATTAACATTTTTAAAATCTTATTTCCTTTTTTTGCTATTAGATCCAGTTTTTAGCATAAAGTGAGGAAGCTTGTCATTCTCTGATAAACTGAGGATCCTCAGGCCCCGTCCACACGAAGCCGAACCCAGGCCTAAACGCACAAATTTTTCACCAAACCAGCCTCTCATCCATACGAAGCCGGCGTTTCGGGGGTCTGTAAACGATCTTTTTTTTATTAAGCCTTCAGAGTGGGAAGATTTTGAAACGCCGTTTTCGCGTTTCCATCTTTAAGCTCTAACCGCATTTTTTTTTTACACGCATGCGTCATAGCGTCGCCTCTAAACACGCATGCGCGACACAGTATCACAACAACAATGGCGCCGTACTGTGTTGAATGGTTGCTGCTCATGCTACTCACCCTGCTGTCGGGCTTACAACACAATCTTCTTCTTCTGGAATATCTCCAGGAAGAACAGAGCAATATCGACGACATAGTTCAGCACCTGAATTTGACTGAACCACGAAAATGGACCCGCAGGGCAACCATGTATAAATATTAGTGCGCATGCCCAACGTTTCGTCGCCTATTTTTGCTTTGGCACCACAGCGCCACTTACAGGCCTTGCATACATTTTGCAGCGTTTTCATGCATTCGTGTGGACGATCACATTTATTTTACGTCTCCGTCTTTACGACAAACGTTCTGGAAAATATTAGCGTTTCGTGTTCGTTTTGACTTCGTGTGGACAGCGCCTCAGTTCTTCCTCATCAGAATGTAGCTGATCAGGTTCCTCCACACTGAAGGATCCTCTAGAGCAGGCATCCCCAGCCTCGGTCCTCGAGGCCCGCTGTCCTGCAGGTTTTAGAGGTTTCTCTGCTTTAGCACAGCTGGTTATAATGATTGCAGTAGACCAAAAGCCTGTTAATCAGCTTTCAATTAAAATCAGCTGTGCTGGGGCAAGGAAACCTCTAAAACCTGCAGGACAGCGGGCCTCGAGGACCGAGGATGCCTAGAGAGCTGGAGCTCAGCTTCTACTGGGGAACTTGAAGCAGAGGAACGTTTCGACACCGACTGTTACTCCATCATATCTGACACTGATGTAGATCTGATCAAAGAGGAAACATTTGTCTGCAAAAACTTTTCACAACAATTCAGACCGATCATTAGGCTCCACCTCTTTTATTGTGAAATATGAAATGTTGTGAAAGAGCTGAACAGATGCTGAGGAGGTCAAGAGGAACCTGCTTTTACTTTCTCTCTGATGTCAGTGATAAGACTCTGACAGCATTTGTTATGATGATCTACATCATACAGATCTATGCCTTGTTGTCTGCAGACAGAATGCTCCCAGTTTAACAGACTGAAGACAATATTCTATGATTTCCTGAGTCTGAAGAGATTCAAAATGACAGAATATTTGTTTCTAGAATAAAACTTAAGCTAAACAAGAATAAAAATGATAAAAAACTAAGGAAATAAGATGACTAGCTCTGAAACTGTTGGATATGTAAAGATGTATAAAGTCTCTATATGTACCGTACAGGTTTACTGCATACTAGATGTATGATGATGAAACACAGTGGTTTAAATTACAGAATCAGTCAAAGCTGCTGCTGCTGATCCAAAATATTAATTTAACTTCTCTATAAATTCAGTAACTCCTTTAGTTTCTCTATAAAGCGTTGTCATGATTTAATTAAAGGTCTGACCCAAAATGCAGAAGACCAAACAGAGAGACCAGGGAAAAGTTTAACAGGTTTATTAAGAACAGAGATGAGTCCAGTGCTGCTCTGAACACTGTCAAACCGGAACTGAAAAAGTGAGGGGAAGACACTGCGGTTAGTTCAGGCTCAGTGGGAAATTAGATTCTTTGGTCTGAATTGGAGGAATATGTCCTTTATGGAATCCAGTCTGTGTGGAATGTTCCAGAGAGATTTCCTTGAACGGGCTGCGGTGCAGATGAAACCTTTGCTCGGTATGAAGCTCAAACGACCTCTTGGGAAAAGTGGATCCAAACTTCCTGTTTGGAACCCCAGCTCAGTTAGAAGCTCAGTTGATCCTTCCAGAGAGAGAAGGTCCGAACAAATCCAGTTTGCAGGATGACTTCCTGTCAAGAGGCAAAGACAAAAAAACAAAGTTAAGACTCAGGTTGACAAAAAATCAGTTTAACTCAGCAAAACTCAGCTTGGCTAAAGTATCCACAACTGGTAAACAAAGACTCAGGTTAGACTCTGCTACACTAAGCATGGCTAGAGTACCCTGTATTGGCAAACACTCTAGTGTAGAGGTAGTGGCAGTAAGCAGCTTAAGAGCACTCCACAGGTAATGAGGCAACGAGCTGCAGGTGTGCAGGGAGACCCAATGAGGACGGGGCACCACCTGGTGGAGGAGGAAAGGAAACACAAAAACAGACCACACAAACTGGATTCCTGACAGACGTGTGTGGATTTCTGCAGGGAAATCAATCTCCTGAAGAAATCCAAGTGTACATAAAGACAAAGTTAAGAAGAACTTTAACTATTGTTTTTATTCTCAACATAAAAACCTTTAAAATGTTATTTGCAGCATTTTGCTTCAGTTTTTCTGCATAACTTTCAGTCACATAGTTCCTTCTTTCTGTCATGATCTTTTTAGAGAAGGAATCTTCTTTCTCTTTTCTTCTTCCAGTGTAACAATAGACAGGAAATCCTAGAGATAAAACCAAATAAAACTCTATGCAACGATATTTAATAGATCTGTTTATAAATGCTGCTTTCTATCAGATAATGTCTTCTGATATTTAATGAACTGCATGTTTTCAGGTCCAGAAGAAACAGAGGGCAGCAACTTCCCAGAGGTGAGTGAGTGAACTTACTTACATAACAGACGTTCATTTATATCTATAACAGATTTTATGTTTCTAATAGTTAATCTAATCACTATTTCCCTCTTTGTCATATAAACATGCCATCTGAAAGGTTTCTCCTTGTTTCTTTGCAGGCTAAAGATGGTGCAGTAGAGTACTCTGAGCTGAAACTGATGAATGATGCCACTAGTTCACCCAGCAGCGCCCCCTGTGGTCAGGCAGATAATGTGACCTACTCTGAGCTTAAAGGAATAGTACACCCAAAACATGATTAGCCTTCATTTTCTACTCACCTCCATGCTGAACAACACTCTGGAGTACTTTTTTGATATCTCAAATGCATCTGGAGATCTGGGAGACTTCTTGCTGTCTGCTGACATTCAAATAATGGAGGTCTATGGCGCCCGAGACAGAAAGGTCCATAAAAGTCCACAAAAACTTGTCAATATTCCTCCATACCTGCTGGCTTATGTGTGACTGCGATCTGCCAGTCTATTTCCGTGTGTGACTCCGCCCCCATGAAACCACTACGGCACCATGCCGGGAGGTTGTCGTTTCAATGAACGTTGGCTGGAAGATGAAAAATACAAATTATGGATTAAACGGGGACAAACCCCACGAGTTGCCTCTTGTAAAGTCTGCAAAAAAGATGTGCAGCTTTTCACAATGGGCGAGTCTGCGCTGTCAGTAATGAAGGGTAAGTCATAGACTTTTTAAGTAACCCAACTGAAGTAGCCTAATACATGTTAAAGTTAGCGCCTATTTGTTTACGCTAGTAACTGCTAGCTAGGAATTCACAGACTAAGTTACTGAGTGACTGAGAGTACGGTGTGATAATGTAATGTTAGTATTGCAGTGTTTCCCGCAGCACTCTCTTGGCGAGGTGGCCGCCTCGCCAAACTCGCACTACTGCCTCGCCAATGTTCCAAACAAAAAAACAAAGTTTTAATTAATTGCCAGGCCCAGACCTTAAAACAGCATTGATAACTCTACGGCTGATAATACTGAATTGCGACACCCTCTGGTTGGTTATATTACTACGCCATGGCAGAGGAGTAATTTTCTTTGATCATCGGAGTAATAATTTTGCATATACATTGGTATGTAATTTACGGTGGTGTAAGGTGCTGGAAAAAGTTTTAAAATGGATCTTGAAAGTGCTTGAAAAGTGCTTGATTTTGACTTTGACACAAGAGGGCTATTTATGCCCAATAACTCCAGGGTTCGTACACCTTTTCCAATCTGCTTTTCCCTCGCTCCCTTCTAGTCTCCTCTGTTCACACCTGCTCCCAATATGCCTGATCTGTGTTTCTCTCCCATATATGCGCCTCCTGCTCAGTCACTGTTGGCTGGTTTAACATAATTTATTTGCCTCCTTGTTGTGAGTATTCCTGGTTCTCAGTTTTTGTGGATTTATGTTTTTTTGGATTTTTTTTGGGTATAGATTCTGCAGTGTACTCGTGTATAAAACAAAAAAAATGTTGCCTTAAATCACCAAAAATAACAAAAAAATAAAAATGAATGTATAAAACGTTTTTATTTCCTTTTCTTGTTCTCTGTGTTGGTAGAGAGAATATGTAAAATACCAACTTGGTCCAGTTTCGTTCAAAATAAAAATTTCAAACAGGATGTATTAAATTGAAGTGAACAGAAGTGCTGAATAAGCTGCTGAATACTTTCAAAGCTCTGGATCCACAGCATTAAAGAAGGAAATAGCAATAGATTCAAATCACCATGTAAATTTAAAATCTAATTAAGGAGGAATAGATGAGGAATGTCTGCATCTCAGAATCAGATCCTTCATCTGCAGCGTCTCTCAGCCGCCTTGTTTTCATCTTTTCTATAAACTAACTGGGCTCCAAATGGACAGATTCTCTTCACACTCTGGATTTTCTCTCTTTTGTTGCAGCTGTTCTTCATCTTATCAATGTGTATAGAAGTAATGAACCAGGAGTAGAAAATACTGATATTTATAATAATATGTAGTGAGTGAAAAGGTTCTCAGTGAAATAATCAGATAAAGAACAGACACCAAGGATAGGCTATTTAAAGCCACAATGTTTAATTTTCAGCGACATCTACAGGTCAGAATGCAGAAACAAATAAATTGCCCCCACACTGTCTCTCCCCTCCAACAATATGGAGGCAGCCATCTTTCAAAATGACTTCTGCAAGCATCGGTTTACTGTCTTGTCAAGTGATGATGAGATTCATTTACATTAGATCGCAGCATCAAGCGGTTTTAAGCCCAAGAAAGAACATTTCTCATCGTGCCTCCAGCACAGACACCAACCAGCTGCTGCTTCTCTTATCACCCACCGTTCACTCCGGCCGCACGCTCCTCTGATCCTCTGCTGTCCTCTGCTGTCCATCTCCAGCAGGTAGCCTCCAGAGTCTAGCCTTGGCCCGCCATCATCTATTTCAGCTCTGTCTTCCTGGCGGCTCCTCCAAGGTCATGCACACTCCGCTTTGTTTTTAAAACATATAAATATAAAAAATCTAACTGTGAATGTTCTGGGGGACAGTGATTGGCCTCCATGTTCTGAATGCTGGCATACCATAAAGAATAAAATAATGAACAGTTTAGTTTGTGCCTTCAAGTCGTTGCCAATAGGAAGACGTTACTTGGATATAACCTAACGGAATATCTTCAGAACGGCTCCAAATGACACAAAACTCATATGGGCGACTAGAACATGATGCAATAACGTAAAATCAAGGGCCCAATGTAAAAAAAACGGCGAGTTTCCCTTCAATATCTCTAAAATGGTTGTGATTACGATACGAGTCAGACGAAATGATATGTGAGTAAAAACTCCTTTCTGTGATAAAGCAGGCCACCAGGATCCAATCAACTGATCTATTTTTTCAGCCCTGTTCCTCAGGATCCGCTGTCCTTAATGTTACCTGAGAGCTAAAGCTGTGATGACCTCAGAGGTTTGCCATAAACTCATATTAATAATGATAGGCTTCCAGGATTCATCTGGTCAATGCTACTTAAGAATATTTTACTCTTTTCATTGTCCAAAGACAGAAATTCAAAAACGAGTTTAAAAAAAAGTAGTTGTTAAAATGGCTTCTAATGTAATGAGAAACCGCCTGATTAGAAGATCTGATTTAAAGTCTGAAAAAATAAAAAAGATGAAATATAACACAATTATTTAAATAGTTTTCCAATTCTGGAATATTAAAGATTATAATACAAAATTATTAAAACATCACTTCATTTACAAAATACGTTAATTCTATTCAGTTTATTTCTATAGCTCCAATTCACATCATGTCATCTCAGGTCACTTTCCAGTTCACCAGATCATCCAGTCAGATTTATTCAAAGTTTTCTATCTAAGGAAAACCAGTTGATTGCATCGACTCATTGACTCTTCAGCAATCCCTCACACTAAGCATGCTTGTAGCGACAGTGGAGAGGAAAAACTCCCTTTGAACAGGAAGAAACCTCCAGCAGAACCAGGCTCAGTGTGAGCGGCCATCTGCTGAGGTAAGGTAACAGATATTTCTGTTTCTGAACGATTGACATCAGTCATTTCCAAAACTGAACTGAAATATAACCTCCATTAGGAAATGATGTAATGAAACAAAAAAATATTCATAGATACAATAAACACCCTTTCCTGTACTTTCATTTTTAAATTATGCAGTCGGCTCATTAGATGGAAAATAAGATTAGAAAAATGAAGCTTGTGTTAAAACAGGAGGTCAGGTTTTAACATGAACTGTTTCTGTTTGGTTCATCTCAGCAGCCAGGGGTATTAGCTAATTAAAACTAGACATTTATTTAAAACAATATCACTCCAGTAAAAATAATAGTATAGTAAATTAACTCAAGTATTTTTGCAGAACTTATTTAAGTAATTATTTCCAGCCCACCTCTGTTGAAGCTGAAGAGTGAGTTACAGAGCAGCAGGTTGGAGCTACAGGTGTTTGTTAATGTGGAGAAAGTTTAATGTCATTGTTTTTTTTGAAAGAGGAAAAACATAAATATATAAAGCCACCATGTCATTGGAAGAAAATTAATTGGAAATAAAATGTATCATCACCTCAGACAACATGGTTTTTGAAATGTTCTTAATGTAAGCATTTTTCTGTGGCCTGTGGTTTCTGTTATTCCACAAGAAGAAGAATCTCTTAAATTCCCCTTTTTATAAGATTGAGGAGATCCATGTTGGTGATGATGGAATAAGGTGAAGGAGTCCTTGGAGGATTGGCTGACGTGAGAGTGTGTAGCTGCCCTGATTGGCCAGAGCAGAGAGGAACGAAGAGGTGATTGGTTGGAAGGTAACAGCTTTCCAGCTGGTTATAAACCCAGGAATCAGTCAGACATATTTATGTAAAGTTCAACATAAATGGTTTCGATTTTACCACTTTCTTTTTGTTTTGGAGCTCCTAAGTTACATTTCATTAAATATTTTTCTCAAAATATTTCAGTTCCTCTTTATGGTAAAGAAATATGTAGAGAAATTGATTTATTTTCCAAGATAAAAATCTTGCAAATGAAGAGCAGGAAGTTGGCTTTTAAAAATGCATTTGCACGATATGAGCGATATAAATTCATAAACTTAATAATTTAAAAGAAAATTGATTTAAAATTTAAGAGACACGTTATTTCCCCAAAAATAAAACATTGAATTTCCAGCAATTTTTCTGTGAAACCATCCAGCCCTACAGAATAAACTCTAGTCAAATATTTAATGATACAACAACTTAAACTTTGGTTTAAAATTTTCACCATCTGTTCATCCTGATTTCTAATTAGTGCGGACTTAATGTGCTTTACTGAAACTGGCAGCTTAAACATAAACTAGAGTTTCCTTTCCTCTAACGAGTGTGTTGCGCTGAGAGGTGTGGTGTGGAAGGAAAAATTCAGCAAAGTTGGTTGGAGCAAAAACAAAATGTGATTGATTAAGTATCTTCCATCAGAGCATGGTTATACTTAGACCAAAATGGCAGCTTTCCCATCAGACCCTTACTACTTCTTCTTCTTCTTGTTTTACTGGCGACTTGCAACCAAATGGAGCATTATCACCACCTACTTGATCTTATTTATGTTTCCTTAAATCCTTAGGTTTAGTCCAGTTTGTTGAAGATAAGATGACATGATTTTAAGTACTGTCTTTCTGGATTTATTTGAGAAGATATTTTTAATGTCCAGTTGTTTGATTCCTTCATGTTCCAGTCTTTTCCTTAAATCTATTCTTTGACTTGCATATTTAATACACTCAAACAGCACATGTTCTACTGTTTCTGGTTGACTACACATTTCACATTTTCCTGTTGGATACTTCCCAATAACATGCAATGATGCATTTAGCCTCGTGTGGCCTAGCCTAATTCTACTAAACATCCCCTGTTCTCTCCTCCTCTTCCCCAGAGGCTCTTCTTCTCCCACTTTTTGCTGTATCCTATATAAATGTCTTCCTTTATTTCCATTATCCCATAATTTTTGCCACTGTACCTTAATTTTGCTTCGTATGTACGATTTGATTTCTGTTTTGCTAATTGGTACTTTTACTTCTACCTCATTTATCGTCAACCCCTTCTTAGCTAACGAATCTGCCATCTCATTCCCTTTAATGCCACTATGTGCTGGAATCCATAAACACTGAACATCAATCCCCAGATTACGTACTCGGTATAATGATAATAAATTTTCTAACATAATATCCTCCCTACATTTAGATAACGTATTTTTAAGACTAGTCAATGCTGCACTTGAATCTGAACATATTAATATTCTCAGGGGTTTGACTTCCTCTATCCAGTATAATGCCAACATGATTGCCATCATTTCTGCTGTATAAACCGACAAATGATCAGTTAATCTTTTAAAAACCTTAACTTTTAATTCAGGAATGTAAAAAGCACAGCTTGTTTTTCCATTCTCTTGATTTTTTGACCCATCAGTGAATATATGTACATAATACCCATATCTCTCATGAATCAAAGTGTTCACATAAGTTTGTATACTAAACATGTTATTTCTTGACTTTATCTTCTTTAATAAAGAAAGATCAACACTAGGTTGAGGTAGTAACCATGATGGTATAGCTGGCATTAAGACAGTTAGACTAACATCCCAATTATTGATTTCTAACTCCTTGATTATCTGAATAATTCCCTTACTAAATACCTCCTTTTTAATTTTACTGCTTTCCCAACTTTCACTTAATATTCTTTTTGTTGGATGCGTTTCTTTTTGACTTTGTAAATTAGTTCAATAATTTGCCCTCAACTGTTTCCTTCTAAGACTTAATGGCATTTCTCCAACCTCCACCTGAAGCGCAGATATTGGAGTTGATTTTACTGCTCCACAACATATTCTCAACGCTTGAGCCTGAATTATGTCCAACCTTTTTAAAGATGAACTAGCAGCTGAATCAAAAACAATACAACCATAATCTAGAACTGATCTAATTAATGCAATATATACATTTTTCAACGCCATACGATCAGCCCCCCATATACTTCCTGATAAACACCTCATAATATTCAGTTCTTTCTTACATTTATCTTCTATCTTATTAATATGATTAATATGATCATCAAACCACAACCCCAAGAATTTAAAAACTTTTACCCTTTCTAATCTTTGTTTATACAATTTCAGACAAACATCTTCTTTCACTTTCTTTTTCGTGAAAAACATGGCTTGAGATTTCTCAACAGATAATTTAAATCCCCATTTCAAAGACCAATCTTCCACCACATCAATAGCATCCTGAACTTTCTTTACAACATATTCTATTTTCCTTCCCCTTTTCCAAATTGCCCCATCATCTGCAAAAAGTGATTTTCCCATGTCAGGTTTAACCTTCTTATATACATCATTTATCATTATAGAAAATAGTACCGGACTAATGACGCTCCCCTGAGGGGTGTCGTTTTCAACTAAATAAGTGTCAGAAATATAATTACCCACACGAACTTGAATATATCTATCAAATACGAAATCCTTTATCCAGTTATACATTTTCCCACCTATACCTATTTTATCTATCTTTATTAATAATCCTTCCTTCCACATCATGTCATACGCTTTCTCTATATCAAAGAAAACAGCTACTACCCCCTCTTTATTTGCTTGTGCTTTCCTAATATCATTTTCCAGGCATATTAAAGGGTCTAAAGCAGTGGCGGCTGGTGAAAAATATTTTTGTTGGGGCTGATATAGCCTAGTGTATGTCTCCAACTAATCCGGAATAAGAATTCAAATAAACAATTGCACAATACATACAATTTAACAGTAATGATTTAATTTACTATATAATAACAGTAACAGTGATGATTTGGGTCACTGTGACGGGGTTCTTTGGCCTCCAAGAATCCAGGCTCAGTCGGGTTACCGGTGTTGGTGATTTATTGT